TTGATTGGCACCTGTCACTTCAAATGACTTGAAATTCCTGGTGTGAACTAAGATAGGTCCAATCTTTATTTGTGTGAAATACCAATAAAATTCAATGTTTCTGTAAGCAGGAGCAATGTTTAAATTTGATCCTTATTTTAGTGTCATTTTTGGGATTTTGGGCAAAAAACCAGGGGGGGTGGTCTAACTCCTAAGGGGAAAATCACAAAGCCGACCCACTTTGTCTTTTAGAGTTGTCGGGTAGTACCTTCAATCTGGCAAAGTTTCATCCAAAAAGGAGAGATGGCATGTATCACCCCTGCCTGGTCCTCTGGTAAACTTGGTCTTAAGCCTTATTTTTTTGAAGATGCTTCTATGGATCCTATGTCAATTTGTGTGTTGTAGTGTAACTCACTACATCTGTTTATAAATTAAGTGTTTATATATTTTAAAAAGTTGTAGTAAAATGTTTTCACCTACAATCATGTACAGTAGGTTTTCAATTGAGTGTCGAAAGTAATCAGACAATTACTTTGGTTTTGGTTTTACTACAGTTTGAGATTGGCTGAGCAGCCTAATTGGTAAGTAATCAGTTTGGTTTCACTTTTATGACACTCAATTGAAAACCACTCTAATAAAACACATGCATTAGAAACCAGTTGTATTACTCCTCTTTTGAACAGTGCCAAAGTGCAGACATACAGAACACCTTGTACAAGAGTTGTGTGCTGGCAATACAGAGAATCATGCTTGCATCACCAGCTGCTAAGGTATCTGACAAACAGAACCTTCTTAAACCTAGTGATGACTAAGTAGCCTACTAATTTTGACAGTTCTTAAGTCTTTTTAGTGGGTAGTGACTAGGTGTACATCTTCTAAGCTTGTCTAAGACTAGCTATGTTTGTATAGTGCACTAATCCCAGGGATGAAATAGTCTGTCACAAGTTACCCGCAGCATTTTTGCCCAACCTATCATAATCAGTGGCAGATCCAGACTTTGAGCTAAGGGTGGGGCTGGGTTTTTTGTTTGGCTTGCCCTGCGGGCTTTTCTTCCTTCTGTGATTTTCTTCTTTTTTTCCCCAAAATAAGGAGGGTCCCTCCCCTAGATCCGTCACTGATCATGGTCAGTTGTACCCATTTTGCATACATATGTCTATGTACACCTCGGTAGTAAAGTAAAGATTTTTGGCTAAGGACACAGCAACGCCATCCAAGGGCAGTATGCAGGGTTCAAACACTGATGGTCAAATCAAGTGTAAAAGGTTTTCCTTTGTGTACTCAATTCTTTCCGTACACAAAAAAAGGTCTGAGATCTGATACCAGATATTCCATGCAGAAGACAAAGCTGTTTTGTCACTACATGTGTAATCGCAAAACTGGTTCAACTTAATTTGTTGTTTGATTTCTTCCAGGAAGTGTTCAAAGATAGTGTGGGCTTTGAAAAGTTTTGCAGTTATCTCCAAAGACTTCAGTCACCATCTAGAGAATTCATTCAGCTACTGTTTGATTGGGTAGGTGGTTCTAAATTTGCAGTTGGATTAATATCAAATTGAATATTATTAAATCATATAATGTTGACATTATCCTGTTAAGTGTGCAGTCATTACTACGTGGAAATGCAATTCAGTGTAAAGTTGTGAAGAATGAATGTGTATAATCATTATATATTTTTTTAACTACCAGCTCTTCATAAGATTTGTTTTTTTTTTTTGTTTTTTTTTTTGTCTTCCGTGCAGGTGGTAGAAGGTGTGTACACTGAAGAAAATAAAGTGATCAACAATGTGGATGTTATCCTGCTTATTCTTAATTGGGTTCCTTCTTTATCAGTGGACAACAAAAGGTAAATTTGTGGTGCTGTCAGTTCTAACAGTAAGATGTAATAATCTTTCTTGTTGCCTAGCATTGTAGAACTCCAGCGAGTTGGAAGGGCTGGAAATCTTAGCACGCATTGCATGCCTCAGTGTTACCCCAGAGTTATACAATTTACAATACTTTCTGAAATGTGTAATTATTTCATTTTAATTTTAGCTTTCTGTTGTGTCTGAAACTTAATTTCTAAAGAGACTGAAAACATTTTTTTGAGAGTGTTTGGTACCTTTTGTTAGCTGAAGATGCAGTTCTTCTGTGGTAAGAGACTACAATTATTGTTCAGACTTGGGAAAGAAATATTATATTTTCAAAAACTGCGTAGCTGCGGTATTCTCTTTTTTGTTCAGCACTAAAATAATTTACTGACTTCATATATGCATGCTCTGCCAGGTAAGTTAAGTTAAAACTTTGTAAGCTGTTGGGTTAAAGTGCACCTAACCCCAAAAATTTTTTTTCGGTAGAACGAATCTACTTATTATTTGAAATAGTTCTGCGAAAAAATTTTTGGATTCCGTTAAATCCTCGATTTTCTGTGCCACGACGAAATCTCGAAAATAGCTCCAAA